GTCGCTTTTTTTCTGAATCAAAATATAATATAGCTTGTCACATATATTTTCCTTACCTCGGTCAAAATTTTGAATGACACGTGTCATTTAATCATATGTTCGGCCTTGCATCAGGTTGCGTGGATGCAAGTTGATATAAAATCGAATACATGTGAATAAACGACATGCAAAATTAGAGCTTTTGACTATAGTAACAAAAATAAGAATAAAAAGCGGTATGTCCTATATATTTACAATCAGAAAAAGAGCCTCCATCATTTTCAGTAAAAATATTTTGTATACTCCAGCTACCACGAATGCCTAAAGCCTAGATACCAATGGGGTACCATGGGGCTATAGGCGGAAAAGGCGGGACGGGACGCCACACGTACTCTAGCGAGGGAGTACGTGTGCATGCAGCAAGCACACATTCCGGGCCCGCCTAAGAGATCCGCCGCGTACGGCAGTCTGCCACCTATGAACAATAACAACATTCATAGCCAAGAAAAAAATTTCTCTTCGGACGGGATTCGAACCCTCGCAGCGCACGGCGACTGATTAGACGAAGCGGCTACCACTGTAGCCACAGCTGCTTTTGCAAAAATGCAGCCCTACTGAATAGCTCTTTTGCATCGCATTCTGCATACAAAAAGATGTTTCGTAAAATAGTTTATACAGGGTGGCGCATCGAAAACGAAACAGACGCATTTACTTGCAGCTCAGTTTTTTTTTTTCGGAAAAACGCTCAGACGTTAACACGTGATCCCCCCTGGCCGGAGGTGACACCAACCATAAAATCTTAAATGGAAAGGGGGGCCGAGTGGTACCTTATTTTAAAGGTGTTCCAATTCCCTTTATAATGATATAAAATTAAAGTACTTCAGTTCAGTAGTTTTGAAGATTTATTGATTTAAGGCTTAAATAAAACTAACACATCATCATTAGTGGAGATCAATACATCTGGCAACAAAGTAATTTAAAAATGAAGAACGAACTGACCCGTTAGGCAAGTAAATGTTGAAAATGGCCGCCATGACTCTCCATGCAATAATAAAGATTTTGATCAAAACGTTGCCGCACATTTTGCAATATTTGAGGAGTAATTTGAAGGCACTCATTCACAATTCTTTGTCGTAGGTCTTCTAATGATGTTGGCTGAGTAGCTTAGATTTTGCTTTTTAAATGACCCCACATAGAGAAATCCAAAGGTGATAAATCTGGCGATCTTGGGGGCCATTCAATGCCACCTCTTCTGCCAATCCATCGATCTGGGAACGTCTGATCTAAATGTTGTCGTATGCGTATGCGTAATGTGGTGGGGCACCATTCTGTTGGAACAACCTATTCGCAATGTACCGCCGATCATTCTGATATTCAATTATGGCTGTTAATGCAGGATCCATGGCGTCTTCTAGTAATTCCAAATACATTTCACCGGTCAAATTTCCAGGTAAGAAAAAAGGACCAACTAAATGATCGCCAAAAATACCAGCACAAACATTTAATTTTTGTGGCTGCTGTGTATGAACCTCATGATAAATTCTGGGATTAGAATCGGACCAATAACGGCAGTTATGACGATTTACTTCGCCATTTAAGAAAAAGGAACATTCGTCGGAAAAGCAAGGAGTCCAACTGGTTTGCTAAACTTAAAAATGGCGACATGTCGATTTATGACAAACTTCGCTCTGGACGTCCATCAACTGCCCAAATCGACGAAAATGTTGAATAAATTCTAGAGCTTGTGCTATTTGGAGGTTTTAACACGATTTCGAAACAGTGTTCGGCAAAAAAAAAACGATTTGTGGCAGTCAGGACACTGGTTCTTCCACCACGATATTGCACCTGCGCACACAGCTATCTCTGTTCGACAGTTTCTGGCTAAAAATGGCATGGTTCCGCTGCCCCACGCACCTTATTCGCCTAACCTGGCTCCGAATGACTTTTTCTCATTTCCACGCTGGTAAAGGGGCATGAAAGGACGCCGCTTTGATGACATTGAAGAGGTCAAGAAAAAAACGATGGAGGAGCTGTCAGGCATTTCTAAGGAAGACTTCAAAAAATGTTTCGAGCAGTGGAAGGACCGGTCGGACAAGTGTATTAGTTGTAGTGGATAGTATTTTAAAGGAGATAGGGTTACTTTGTGAAATAGTTGAAGATAAATAGCATTTAAAGCATTTTGGTACGCCCTAGTATATGGTGTGTTACATTTAAAATAATGTATGTCTTTGTTGCCGCGCAATTATGAAGCACGCTGCAGGGAGTGGTATATTTTTCAAGTAAAGAGCGCACATTTGCTCATAATTTTTGTAGATAGTTTTTTGAGATGTTATATATGTTTTACAATAGCGGAGTATCGCACTGACCGGACACTAAATACTCACCCTGTATATACTTGGCTTCTTCATAGCACAGCAGTACAACTATAACGGTATTACAAAAAGTACATACACTGAAAACCTGAAAAACATCAAGTACTATCCCGCATTTCTGCACCCTCGTGCGGTATTTTATCAAAATACACCGCTACTCTCCCTTAGTGCTCCGACGAAGCACCAATTTAAATGAAATCCTCGTGAATTGCCATGGAAACCGCTTCCCATAAGCGCCTCGTGTTACGTAAGTGCCAGATGATTTGCTGGAGCGAGGTGTTACTGCTGCTTGATGGTGATGGCGATAGACAGAGACAGAGGGAATAATTTTAGAGGAGAAATAAGAAGAAAAATGTCAGCTTCCCACTCGCTAGTATGGTTTGTATTAAGGTAAAGTGTCAATGTTTTCTTTGATTTTGATGGAAATGGGATATCTATGTGGAATTGGCGATACTGTAGCTTGTCACAGGTAAGATGGTAATTGGAATTCTACTTTCCGACGTTATAACAACTTTAAGCTTTACTGCACTGATAATACTAAATTACCAATTCCTTTTATTCTAAGCTGAGTTACTAGATGAGGTTAGCAGGAGAAGCTTGACAAACAAATCCAACGCCGCTGCGATCATGTGGATCTATTGTACCTACCTGTTTGTTTAGGTTTAAAACATTGTTTATCATCCCGATTTAACCAAAGTCCTTCCAAGCCTTCGCAGTAACGTTACAGGTGTACGAGGGCCTCTTCGTGCCCTTTACAGAATCCACACCTCATCTGCGAGGTAGAAGAGCTCCACAATTATGTTACCTTACTAGATAATGCCCTGTTAAGCAGCCTACTATGGTAACGCGGTCCATTTTTGATTAATGCTTGTCTGTCTTTATCCTGATAGGCAATTCTAACGTTCTATGAACTTTTTTGGTCGATTTCTCTACGGTTAACTGCATGCTTAAACATTCCTACCTCTGACGACCCGCTTCATTATGAGGAAAACTGTAACAAGAATACGTAATTTATTACTTTATCAAGGTGAAAACTACTTTTGTTATAAGGTCCATACAGCTTGATAGACCGTACTCGTATTAGTTGAACGTTGTCTGGATTCCAGTCATTCGTTTTCCTTAGAATTCAAATTGATCGCAGTGCTTCTAGTTGTCCTGGTAAAACATATCGGTAATACTTCTGCCAATCTGTTGTTAGTAAGGCCAGTTTGGCAGAACGAATCATACGAAAGGTAAAGTTAGAAACATCTGTAATCCTGTTGGTATGAAGCACCTCCATCTTTTCTCATAATATTTGAATATAAGGTGAATGATACGCCACCAATCGAAATTCATAAGCACTTCCACCATTTCTGACGATATTTTTGTAGGACATGTCGGTGCAATTTGAAGCGCCTACCAAGTTATCCATATTCTCTATCACACTGAAGTGTAGACATATGCTTGGCCGTAATTCTATACTTACAGACCACTTATACCATCACTTATACCGCTTTTGTAGTACGGAGTTACAGGCGGTTAGGCTTGTGAAGGAACGACTGACGATACGGCCCTAAGTCTCGATCCATGAGTACATATAAGTACATACTCTTTATTTTTTGATCAACATATAAAACTTGAATCGAATGATTTTAATCGCCTCCATGGGCGGAGACCCCGCACACGAGGCAATGTGGGTTGGGTGGTATTGAGGCCTCCGACATAGCCTCCCCCACCGTTAAACTATATATGGGCTCCGTATGAACATTGAACTCCACCCATCCTAGATCCGCCACTAGACCCTCCAACAATATTTTTCAGATCCGTCCCTGATTTATGTTGTATTTCTCGAATTCAGAACGTTTCCTCTGGAAAGTATCGAACTATTCAACATTGTTATCTTGTCCACATTAAAAAGCTCATCTGCTAATCTATTTGAGCTATATAAACGCCTAATTAACCGAATATTGATTGATATACTCGGATATTAAATAATACACTTAACCAGTGTTTATTGTTTCGTCGAATAATTGACTAACGATGTATGCTCTATCATGATTATTTGTCGAATTCATATGTTAATGTTTACTCTATACTGATATGGAAGTGGTTGGATCTGTGAAAGTGTACATACATATATCTATAACAAACATGTGAATGACATTTTTTAATTATGAACACTGTACGAGTGCATCTAATAATAACAAATATTTATGATCTAGGTACAGCCTTTGGTATTTATGAGGTAAATTGTATAGCTACGGTAATTTCTTGATTTTTTTTACAATTATTTAGCAAAAAGTTATCTCCTGGGATGGAACTTGAAATATAAAGTGGCTATCCACAAAACAACAAAAATGCGAGAGGCTTTTATTTGTGTATGTACTCGTCTTTGTAGAAACTAGTTAAACCAATGTTTATAATTAACATGGTTTTCATGTTTATAAAAGGAAAACATAAGCTGCTCACAAATAGTCCACGTAAGCTTTAAACCCACCCTTTATGCGTTAATTCGTACGTCAGATGATATATTTGTCAATCTGGTTTAACCAAAGTTAGCAATGGTCAGATGTAAACCTATTTTCCAGATCATACGCTGTCACGCAAATACAGAACCTACCAGATGGCCTTGATATGCACAGAAGTGGCGAATGCCACATGGTATTTTCACTATTGCTTTCTATCCGCCGGCTCAGACGACATCATTTCGATCTTAGTTCCTCTATTTCGAAAAGCTACTTGATGAGTGTTCAAGCTAGGCTAAAATATAAATAGCCATTTAGAAATCCTGAAAGTTCTTGTCTGGTATCCCAAAGCTCGGCTCGATAAGACCACTATATACCATATAGATGCATACAGATTTTCTTCCGCGCACACTTGTGCGCTTGTGCGTGTCAGTTCTAAGTGTTATTTCCGATCTTGTTGTACATAAACATTCTTTTTTCCAAACTTCATTTGAGACAAAATTTTGAAGTAAATTGCACGTTAATATTCTCACTTATTCTCCTCTACAGGGTTAGTATAATCAGAAGTGCCAATATGACGTTTCGTTTTTTGTCCTCATTGATTAACTATTACTTTATCTACGTCTTATGAACGTCATATTGGACTTTAGCATGGGCTAACTAATTTTTTTCTTATTTACAAAGTGTATAGTACTAATGATGTAAAATTATAATTATTTAAAGAAATGACGTCAAGTAGGATGATTTTGCACTTTCCATGCAAGTTCATGTAGGATTTATAAAGGATTGAAATTGAATGGGCCAAGTCAGGCAAGCAGACCCATACAATTAGTCCATGGATATTTTTCCTTGCCTTAGCGGCAGTACGGTCTGTCTACCTACGTCGCCCTTCTCCCATATCTGACCACTCAATGCGTGAGACACGCCCGGCAGCTCGACATTGCAGCAGTAATAAAAGGGTACTCATCGAGACCGGCACTTTAAGGGCAAATCTATGGGAACATCTAAGATGTGTCAAATATGTCTGGGAACGCAGAATTACCGGGGCTGGGAACACATAAGTATATTGACATCAAAAAATTGAGATATAATCCGCTATCTACAGCCTCCAATCCCAAATTTGTATCCCACACAAAAACGTTTCCTCGCCATTCAGGAGCCTCTGAAACGTCAAAAGCGAAGTTTTTGAGATCCCTATATCTTTTTTTTTCGTTTTTCGTGCGGCACCATCACTGGACCGATTTTCAAAAAGCTTTTTCGTCCTTTGAACAATAGTAACCTTGTGTAAGAATTTCACCCAAATCCGAGAGAAATTTTACAACTTACTCGTCAGTAGGTGTGGGAAGTAGAAAATAGTACGAGTATTTCCCACGTAGTACTTGGAATGATCAGGAGGTCCTGTGTTTCATAATAGCATTCATTCAGCTTGTATGATTTGAGCAGCGGCGTACGGTAGAGAAGGTGGTATTATGGCCCCTGCTGGTAATTTGGCCCCCCTTTTAATTTCATAGAATCTTTGATTTTTATAGTACACTACACACATCGGGCCCCCGCCAATATTTAAAAGCCAGTAGGAGATCGACTTATCGATAGGCTCTGCCAGTATTGTTATTCTTGTAGTAGGTATAGTGTCAGTAAATAATTTCGTTAGTGATTGATTTAACACGTTTTTGTCTCCATAGTTGGTTCAGAAGCAAGTTTATTGTGTTCTGTATGAAGATAAAGGGTTAGTAATAGCTGTATTACGAAGGTAGGTACGTTGAATAATTTTCTATTTTTTTTGTGACCCATTGATGATACACCCATGTATGTAATATGGCCCACTATAACTACTGGAATTATGGCCCAAGGGGCCATATTAAAGACATTGCTATGCTGATACTTTTATTCATTTATAAATAATATGAACCCTAAATGCGGCACTTAATTTATTTTAAATTGTTGCAGATTCCCCGAACAAGTATGTCTACAAGGAAGGATAGGAAAAGAGCTTGTTTCGTTTCTACTATATCTTTGCACGCTAATATGCCCCCCCTCCCGGGGCCATATTACCTTCCTACTTCGAATTAATAAATGTTTGCAAGAGTCACAAAAATATATTTTTATGGAAACATTTTCGATTATTATTTTTTTCCATATATTACCACTTGCTCTTAAATGATTAAATATTATACTGACACACAAATATTAACAAGAAAACATTAGGTTGTGTCTTTACGTGCAGAAATGAATATAGGGGGCCATAATACCACCTCCTATATATCCGACCTCTTCAAAATCGTATATGGGCAGCATAACAATAAATATATTTATACCTTCCGTTTTCAGTTAGACAACGTTTTGAGGGATACCCTACAGTCTTATATGCGTGAGTTTTTTCCTGAATTTCCGAGTTGCGGGTTACAAATAGTATTAGAAGAAATATCATTTGGACATAGAAAAATAGTGACGTTTTTGTGCTTATCTGACATAATTTACACAGTGCAATTTGTTCAACTCGTAGAGTGGAATCAGTGCAAAAAACAGACTGAGGTCAAGAGACGAAACGTCATATTGTTATTCTAATTATGCCACCTTGTAAGGAAAAAAAGTGACAATGTTAAGGCTGATTTATTTTAAAATAAATAAATAGTAATAAATGATTTTGCTATTATATTTTCCAAGTGCCATGTTAATAGCTACCTCAATGCTCAATCGACTTTTTTTCCTCTTACGATTTCCGAGATCCTCCGGTGAGAGTCGAATTTGAAGCAGTTAACGCTTTTAGTAGAATATTATCTATATTCGACTTCGACTCATCATACTTATTTAAAATCGCTGAAAGCTCTCATCTAGTACATCAAAGCTCGCCTCAATAAAACTCTTAAACACACCCTATAACAGGCCGTCTGATTTCCTCTCGCCCACACCTCTGCGCGTCGGCATTAAGTGATACTTCCGCTGCCGTCCCCTACTTCCCCTACCAGGTCAAACCTTTGGTGGGGATAGAGCAGGAGAGTGGGGGAGGGGGGCGTCTCCCACTCCCAGTCACGCCCATCGCCGTCTCCTAGCAACGGCGGAACGTCAAGCGGGACACCTGACGCGCGAACGCGCGCCGCGCGCCAGCCTCAGTTCGCCAAGAAATGCTGAAGTGGAAGCGTCGAAGCAAAAGCTCCCGTAAAATCAACGAGGAAGCTAACTTTTCCAAGAAAAGTTTGCGATACATATGCTGCCAACATATCGCCCTCTGGGACCAAGATATCTTCGGACCGTTTAGCGGAATGCAGTCGATATGGGAATATCGAGGCGAAAGCTCAGCAGGTGCAAAAGCTCTTCGTGTAATCAACTGCATGGATCCTAATTTTCCCGGTACTAACGTCGCAACTCTTTATCAACCTGTAGAAGCGATATATCTTCACATTTTTCCTCGTAAGCTTTGAATCTTCATCCAAGGAGGAAAAGTCAACTTAGAGTTTACAAACTTTCAGATTCGAAAGGAGAAAGCGCATTCACCATTTCATGCCAGTGTCACCTTATTTATAGCCGAGTCGAATTGGGAATGTAGGGGATAGTGTACCGGTTTTTAAATTGTACCACCTTAATACTTACTGAATTGTAGAACCCCAGTGCCATCTAGCTGGTTTGATACTTCATGGCGTCAAAACATATCTGACCAAAACTTATAACCGGCAATCTTTCGTAGAATTTGAAATTTGCTTTTAATGTAAAATTTGTTCGCACAGTATGTATTATACAACCTTAGATAAGTCTGTGTGTTCGAATAATCGCCTTCTGTCAGTTGAGATGACAGTTTTCTAAATTATTGATTATTTTATGACATGTTACCCAGATAAAATTTATTCTAACCTCAGTTTTTAGAAGAAATGACACAACCTGTGTCAGTCAAACGGGTTTGGCAATTTGCTCCATCCCTTGACCTGTTAAACTCGAATATCTTATTATCTGCACTTAAATTAACAACTAGCTATCAGCTATGACGTATTTGCTTTGCCAGTGAGCTAAAAATTGGTGATTGTTAGATTCAGATTCGACGGATGCGGCTATAAGTTAATTTGTTACCTATGTTCCTAATTTACGGACTCTGTAAGTTGGGTTAACAAAGGTACAATTCACAAACCGGATGGTACAACTTAACAATTGGTCCGATAAACAACAACATTTGCTTAAAAAGCTCACGGTTGTAAACTGTCAACTTTACCTATTGGGAATTTGCGTAGTGAGCGGTTAGTTCAAAATCCAATCAATCTGGAAGCTAGTGCAGGGTCCAGGATGAACGCACTTCCCTGCACTGACAGTCATACTCATACTGCTGCAAGTTTACGCAAAATCAGAGTCGTCATTTTCACCAGTTTCTTATTTTCTTAATACAGTGGTCAAAATTATATGGTCGGTAAAGAGTAAAAATATCCTGTAAATGTACCTTCGTTCCAAAGTACCATACCTGTAAAAATGTAAGCCTGCGTAGCATATCTGTAAGTTATACAGGGTGTCCCATCCATGTGTGGACGGAATATTACTCATAAACAAATACATTTTGGGAAAATCTATTTATCAGATGTTATACATGACATTTGAGGGCCTACACATCAAAGTTGTGATTTTTCAAATGGAATGCCTTAAATTTTATTGCATATTTGGATAAATCAATTTGAAAGAAAAAAATTGATATAACATACTATGGGGTTTTGGTAATTATGTACTGAGATATAAGGTGTTTTGTCTTGAAAACACCCCAATTCGGCAACCCCCCAGCCCGCTATTTTGAAATTTGGAGTGTTGAATTTTGTATCAAAAAAACTTACACACCTCAGCTTTTATCTTATTTGTTACTTTTTCGAATTTTATGGAACGGCTTAGTTCCCTAAAATATCGCATCATGCTTGAAACAAATAAATTGTTGATTAGATACAAGCTCTCAAAATTAGCTTTGTAAGCATTATAATAAAAACCTGTTTGAAAATGAATTTTTCTAAAGAAAAAATAGTGAATATGGAATTCGTTTTGGGCGAAGCCCAAAGAAATAGTTTCCCAGTATGTCGCATTTATAAGCAACGGTACCCTAATATGCAACATCGAAGGCCGGATACATTTTCCACACTACGAGAACTTTTTGAATCAAGTGGAGCAGTAGAATATAGTGAAAAATTTATAAATAATCCAAGTGTCACCAATGAGGCGAATCAGTTGGAGATTCTATTAAAGTTGCAGCAAAATCGTCATTTAAGTGCACGACAAAATTCTGTCGAGAGGATTATTCACAAGCATAGGTACCACCATATCACCTATGCTTACATCAAGGCCTTCGTCCTCAGGATTTCGCAGCTCGAATGGAGTTTAGTAGGGTAATACTAAATAAAGTGAGTGAAGACACTACTTTCCTGGATAAGGTTCTTTTTAGCGATGAGGCAACTTTTAACAGCATACTCGTAGATGTTGTCAACAGACATAACATGCCCTATTATGCGACGGAAAACCCTTACTGGGTTAAGCAACTAGATTTTCAAAATAAATGGAGTTTGAATGGTTGGGGAGGAGTTATTGGCAGACAAGTTGTGGGACTTTTTTTGCGACAACAGATTAACAGGTACAGAATACTTGAATTTTTTGATCGAGCATTTGCCTTTGCTTTTGGAGGATGTCAACCTGCAAACGGATGGATATGTACTTCCAGCATGACGGCGCACCTGCGCATTATCATAATCGTATCAGTAACTATTTGGACACCTGGAGTAACAATCGTTAGATCGGTCGTGATGGGTCTATATCATCAGATATGACACCGATGGACTTCCTTCTATGGGGGTACGTTAAGCAAGATGTTTATAGATATCCACTATCTACCCCGGAAAATAGGAAGGAAAGGATTAGGGATGCTTTCCTGAACATAAGGGAACACATGTTGAAGGATGTGCAGTGGTCATTTATCCAAAGACTTCGGCTGTGTATTCAACATGGTGGAGATATTTTCGAGCCCTTTTTGTAGATTAGGTCTTGAGTAGTGGTAGTTGTTTGTTTATGTTGTTGTTATAATTGTTTTTCTCTATTACGCTTGAAGCTGATTCATACTGTTCTGATTGTTATTAGTTTTTACGTCAAATCTGTACCCTTAGTGGCAATATTGAACTAGCCCACTGCTTGTCTTTTGTTTCCATGGATGATGTGTTTTTTTTCCTTAATTTTGGTGCGTTGTTCTATTGAAAGCTTAATAACTTAAAATCCAGTGATTTTATCTGGACCAAACATCATACCATAAAAAGATTATAAAAATTGAATCCAAACTTGCACAAATATGCACGGTGATGCATTTGAAATTTTTGTCAAAAAGGACAATTCGCGTTTTTGACCACCCTGTATGAACAAAAATGAACATTCGAAAAAGTAATAAACAAGATAAATGCTGAAGTGTGCAAAATTCAGCACTCCAAATTTTAAAATAGCGGATTGAGGGGTTGCCGAAGTGGATGGTTTTTCTGGACAAAACACCCCACATCTCAGTAGCTAATTACCAAAACTCCATAGTATGTTATATCAATCTTCTTCTTTTGAATTGGTTTATCCAAATATGCAATAAAATTTGAGACGTTTCTAATAAAAAGTCACAACTTCTATATGTAGGTCAAAATTGGGACACCCTGTATGATTGCCAATATTTCAGGAATTTGCCCGCAAATGTCATGTATAACATGCCATAAATACAACTTCCCAAAATGTATTTCTTTATGAGTAATATTCCGTCGCCGCATGGATGGGTCACCCTGTATATATCTATTGTTTATCGAGATTAATGGCAGTTGTCACAGTAGGTATTCATGTTCATCAGGATACCAAGCGCATCTAAAAAGTTGAGCGAACATGAAACCATGTGCACTGTTTTAGATTTTCCGAGATGCCTAATAACATTTACGGCCGCATTCACCAATTCGGCGTTTGCCTGACTGTTATTTATCAGTTGTACAAAATATAACAGTCGGTTAAACAATACTGGTATTCACCAAGACTTTTCGACTTCTGACAACAAACTGACTGTCATACAATAATCTTAGTTGGTGCCTCTTGACCAAAAACGAGAGAACCACATCTAACCTCACTTTATAGCTGCTGTGTGTTGTCATGTGGTTGTCATTTACAGTGTCAGTTTTGTAATGGTTTGCATCATGGAAAAGTCATTAAAAAAGATCAGCTAAATATACATCAAGAGACAATAATTTCATTGGTTGAAAAATATCGAAGTATAATTGAAAACAAAAAGACTAACTTGGTATTTAACAAGCAGAAAATACAATGTTGGGAGAAGCTTGCCTGGGTATTCCATTCAAACAACTGGCCTAGAACTGGCCAACACCTAAAAAGCAAAACAACCTAAATCTAAAGACAAGGTATCATTATTCTGACAGGATTTGGACAAAGAAATTAACTTGTTCTTTTTTTTAAGGTGAATTTGTTAAAAACGGTTAGACGGGTATCTATTCCTCGAACTACTAAATTTGATGGAAAACTTTTAATCCTTTTAAGTTATATTAAATAAGAGTATATGAAGTATTTATCACATAATTGAATTTCTATTTCTGTTCCCATGAAGATACAAATGCCGATGGTAACTTATTGGCCAAGTTATCCGTATTGAATGTAATATACATAAAATAATTTCCATAATAATTTTATTTTAAATGGGTAGTCACTTTGAATACATAAATCTTTACACGATAATTAATTTTTTCATGACATCATAAAAATTGATGAAATCATTGAGTCTCTTGTTGCAGTATTTTGAGATCCAACTAGGACCTGGATCTCTTCAATTTGTTCCATTTCAGGTCCATTCTCAAAAATCGATAGTGTCATTCTGTTCTAAGCACATGTTGTGCAGCACAGCAGTTGCCACAATAACCTCACACATAGTTTCGAGTTTTAGCCCCCATATCAAGATTTGGTTTTCTTTTGAGATTGGCTGGTTCCTTTCAATTATCGGTTCTGTAACATTTTGCAATACAGTTTCCAGTCGCCTAAATGTATCTTTATGTATTCTAAATCTTTTGAACTCCAGATCATCTAGTTCAATCAAGGGAAACTTCCTAGTTCTTACCATTCTTTCTTTCGGGATATCTTCAATGTCACTCATGTCTGTTTCCGAAGATTCTAATTTGTCGATATCAATTCTACTGAGGCTATCCATTTTGATACTTATACGAAACAAGCCCTTACTTGTTCGCTGACTGTATTGTGTAAACCACTTCTACGAAATCTCCAGGCAAAATAAAGTCTGGATGACCCTTTTGACTGTTTAGCATTGAACAGTCAGTTAGTGGTTTACCAGTCCCACATCGCGCTGTTAACTTATCCATGACTTTAACAGACTGTTTGCTATGATGTGTTGATGGTGAATACTAAAAATGGATTTAACAATGTGTTAAATAATTTAACAGTCTGCTAGGGAATAGTGAATACGGCCGTAAAGCAGCTTAATCATGTAGTCAACTTAATACCGCACCAAACTTCTGGAAAGTATTCCATGACCAGTGGTAGTATGTCACCTTTAACCTCCCCATTACTATATAGCTATAGACTGCACGTTCATTGAGTTATATTAATTGACTTATAGGTAGTGGATGATTTATAAATTCAAAAAATCATTTATTAGTAGTAAATATATTCGCTTAGTTAGTGCTTCTATAGCTTACATGCATTCCGGTGCTATAGCAACTACCTACCTAACTAGTTCTGATCGAGTTCGATTCTAAACGAGTGATTTCTGGCAGTTACTAAAAAACTCTACCCTTCCATTTTATTTTAATGATAAATTGTGACTGTGAAGATCTACTTATCTAAACTCCAACCTGGTGACCATACATTGGAATGGAGTATGATCACCCTGACCATTTCATTGTGATTCCTGAAATCGTGACATGTGACCATGATTAGATCCACCTCATGCACATATGAAAATAAAATCAATAAACCGATCGTTTTCAATATCATTTCATTCGACAGTGTTGGTAAGAACATAAATTCATATGAAATACTGCAGAAATTATCATGTTAACGTTATAATGGAACTATTTTATGTGACACTAGCATACGATACAATATCTATATTTGATGCTAATAGCTCAGAAAGTTATTACGCAATTACGGATTCGCTATGACAGTAATAGTGGTGGAGTAATTAAACGTCGATTTGCTAATAATTCGATAGACTCTATGCAATATTAGCGATTAGATTGCAAGCAGTGTGTGTAATCTCTGAACCGTAGAACCGTATACATGTGCTTATGGAGATAAAATATTTTGTGGAGTTACCTTTACGCTATTAAGCTGCCAAAACCAAGATCGAAGCCAATGTTCGGCTTTTAACACATTCTTCGACCGACTCTGAAGCTTCAGGTTGTCGTAGGTTGTAAATAATATGGTCCAATATGTAATATTGAATTGTAGCTTCTTACAACTAGATGAGACGTGAGAAGAATTTAATGAGTATGGATACTTAAATGTAATTAAGTTGTGTTTTATTCAGATTAAGATATTATAATTCACTAATAGTTTGTTATATTGGTTAGAAATACGAACTCAGTTAAAGTATTTTAGAGAAAGATACAGAAACTTTTAGAATTCGGATTATTTTCGCTAATGAACTGAAAATTCCTACAATGTTGTTCGCGTAACGTTCCAGTGATGGAATCAGTCAGATCTTCATTGGTATTGCTTACTCAGTTGAAATAAAAAATCGAATTAGCTACACGTTCACAGAGCTACATGGGAAACACCCGATTTGCTAGTATAATTTTATAACATTAAGCATGTAAAATATGGTGCGGAGGAAGGTGAAAAATCTGATGATCTCCACCTGCGAAATGCAGAGATAGATGTCACACCACCAAAACGGTCGACCCATCGTTCTTTTAATCCCAATATGGAAAATGAGTAAATAAACATGAAAGAAGGGTCGACAGAAGGCACTGCCTATACGTGGACCTTTAATTTTTGCAATTGTGCACAGAATTTAAACACAAATAGTGGTACAGCTAATCAAATAACCATTTGATGCTTACATTTACTATTAATTTGTGAATCTGTGTATCTCTGGTTTTGCTGAAGAAAATATCCATTATATAATATATATGTATATATACAGGGTGTTCCATAATTATTGCGACAAAATGATAGGGGTTGTAGAGGGCATAAAAATATGCAATTTTGCCTTATAAACCCCTGTTCGTAAATATGCCGTTTGAGCACTACAGTTAATTTTACCTTAAGAGCTCATAGGAGAAACAAAAAATTCACCAGCTGCAAAATGTTCGTCTAGCACATTTCATGGTCTCGCCGGTTTGTAAAAAAAGCCTGCTGTGTTTACATTTTTGTTATCGTACACCCGTACCACCTTTTAAAAGTCCAAGCCATGGGTCCAGCAGACTATCTGCCGCGTCGACGTTTTTGTCGTTGGTGGCTGCAGCAGGAGTTGAGGCAACCAAACTTTGGTCGCTACGTTTTGTTCACTGACGAGTCCTGTTTTACAAAGGACGGTTATTTTAATAGCCTAACAGTCACATTTGGGATGAAGAAAACCCTCATGCCATAGCCATCCATAGAGACCAACATCAGTTTTCAATTAACATCTGGTGCGGCATTGTGGACGAGCATATCATCGGGCCATATCTGCTTCCACCACGTTTGGATGGGCATGCTTATGGTCGATCCTTACAGCATGTGCTACCGGAACTATTAGAAAATGTGCCACTGAATATAAGAGCCAACATGTGGTTTCAACACCATGGCGGTCCAGCCCACTTTTCTTTACAAGTGCGGCAGTATTTGGACGACAAATTTCCAAATAGGTGGATAGGCCGAGGTGGCCCTGTGCCTTGGCCTGCGCGGTCACTTGACCTGACCCCACTGGATTATTTTATCTGGAGCTATCTGAAAGCTTTAGTGTACGAAACTCCTGTTCCCAACCAACAAGAGTTACTGGGAAGAGTGATGGCCGCGTCCGCACATGTTCAGGACATACCGGGGGTATGCCACAGAGTTCGCCGATCATTGAACAATCATGCACAGCTGTGTATTGAGCAAGGTGGAGGACACTTTGAGCAATTACTGTAGGTAAGCTGTTTCAAGAAACTGATCTTTTTTTTTTGCTGCAGCCCAAACGGCATATTTCCGAACAGGGCTTTATAAGGAAAAATTGTTCATTTTGATGCCCTCTACAACCCCTATCATTTTGTCGCAATAATTACGGAACACCCTGTATATAAAGAGAAAATTCTCATGCGGAGAAAGGTATATCACAAAAATAGTAAAATAATGGGAAAAATCCTCAAAAAGTGGATTCGAGCAGAAAATAGGTTAGGTAACCCGAGCGATAAGTATTTCTGCTGGTTGGCTTCATCAGGACCGAAATGAATGCACATATGCAACTACAAAAGTAGATACACATGCCCACACATCCGGATACGGGTGTAACCTGAGGAAACGAAGATGGAGAGGAAAAAAAGACACACGAAGTCCACAACAAGAGCCATCCTACACATTGTAGTATAAAATGGCTAGAAGACCTTGAATTTTCAAGGCGACAGCTCTAATTTCAACATTTTAGGGGGTGGATTTGATGATAAAAATAGCTGAAAAATCCCCCTCAAATATCAGTATACCGTGACCAAACACATTGTACGTATATATATATACGAGTATATTGAAATAATTCCCAAAGAGTGTCTGCTTTATGTAGTCAGAATAATTTGCGTATATTTTTGGTCCTAAATAAAGGTACTATCGCTGGTGATTGTGTTTGGTTTCTTGGTACTAGTATAGTTGTGACAGTTGATAATAGCCTGTAAGAGATAAAGTTGTCTCATGCTCTCCTGTCATCACGTCTATACGCATAAATAGACACGATTCAAATGGACATTTTTGCTTTCCGTAACATTGACCAACCGCAGACAGCGCTGTTTCGTGAGCTTTAACAGCTCATCAGTGCCGTATAGGTCTAATAGTCCTACAGACAGATGAACGAAGAGCAAACAAGTGGGTATGGTCGCTTGAAAAACTCAAAATGCTGTGCGAACGTAGGCAAAAATCTGATGATCTCCACCTACCAATGGTTTGCCATATTGATCTTCAGAAAATGTATGACTAGGTCCAAAAATTGTAAGAAGCTGAAAGAACATAGAAACAAAATGTTGTGTACATTTCCTTTTTTTTTTTTGTTCTTCGCTCAAATGTAACTCCGCAACGAGTGGGCCGATTTTAAAAACCTACTAAGTATTTCTATTTTGCAAATGTATTGATATTATATCAGAAGTATTTTTTATTATTATTTACATCCGAGCAGATCATTACGAGTTATGGATTGGCGAGGGATCAGAGATCTCGTCAACTTGGGTGGGAAGTAAAACATAAGGAGTCTAGTTGTTAGCAATATTTGCCACTCTTCCTTAAAGCGACATCAGAGATAGTGATCATTAGATATTTTTATAAGAATATCACACATCCATGATACTGTTACTCGAGAAGATAAACCCTCGCTCATGCGATTAGTCTATATCTCGCATGCATGACGTCACACGGTGACAAAATTCCCCACAGACAAGTGACGAACGTTTTATTTATTTTTTACAATTCTTTCATTAAATTTATATATTTAGTGTTATTTTTAATAAATGTGAGTATTTGTAGATAATTGTGATGTTAGAAGATTCCAAGATATGATATTACTTACATCTATTTGGATTCATTGTTTGAAACCATTTTATTTCAATAAAAAGTGCAGCTCTAAAGAAATGTTAGTCTAAAAGGCTACAGGCGCATCTTCGTGATTAAGTCTTAAGTTCTAAGTTGTCTACTGTATTATTTCTTAAAGTGATATATTTCATTCATTAAATTTTATTGACAAAACATTAGAATATAAATAAAACATTCTATGTAATACTAAAATTATCATGTAATATCGACAACACAGAAAAATTTTGAGCAAATACGATAAGCGCAAAGCCGTACGAAAATCGATCTGGAAGTGAGCATATCTTCTCGAGTGATAGTGTCATGTCACACAGCTGCCAGACAAAACTACTACTAGACGTGCCCACTAGTAACCACGCAAAGAGCCCTTCAGTTGTTTTTCCAATGTCTCCGTGCAGAATCGCATCTGCAACACCTATGTATAGCCATTGCACACATCTC